TTTTAATATATACAGAAAATTGTCCATTGTTGGTGCGGTAGTTCAAAGCCTGGCACTTTTTTCGTGGGGTAATTTATATTTCTATGTCTAGGTGTTCAGCAACCCATTTGGCTTTCCATTGGGAATCTATGTTAAAGTTGTTGGGCAGATGTTGTGAAAGTGTCAATGGGAGCTTTAGGAATTTGAGTCTTCAAGCTGATAAATGAGGAAGGTCGCCAGTGAACTGGTTGGAATGAGTTGTTTATTACAGTCATTGACTATAATAAATACATTTCTTTTTATTCAACGAACATTACAGTGAAGTATGATGGTTTACTTCTATAAAATTTAAAACAAATCATATTAAACCAAGTGCTTTTTTTAAATAAGAAATTAAATAAGAAATTTATTTAATCTAATAAATTATTTCTTCATCATCTAAAATCTCTGCAGAAATTACAATTTTAAAAAAGGATGAATATATGCTGTGGGCGGGAGTGTACATTTTTAACCTACTTTTCTATATATAAAATGCAATGCAGAGAACACAGCTAATATTCCTCCCTCTTCCTGTTTTCCCCACAACTATAACCCTGTGAGGTGGGTTGGGATGAGACAGTACAACTGGTTTAAATTCATCCAACTGGCCTAGAACTCAGACCCCTTCTCTCTTTATCTCTCCCTCTCTCTCTTTCTCTCCTTCCATCCATCCTGTTTATATCTTCAGAGTTCAAAGCAGATTACCACAAACCTTTAGGAAAGGTTGGGTTGGGTCTCCCATTTTCTACTCTCCCATTCCAAGGATGTTAAGCATAATGCCCTTGGAATGTGAGATACAGTACATAGATATGCAATGCTTAAGAAAAGAGTTCTCTATTAGCAAATGTATATAATTTGAAAGCATTTAAACCTGTGTATTAGTATCTCTGCGATGCTATACCTCTATAGCAAGCTGTATCTGCATTTTCTATCAGGAGGAATTATAGTTTAGTGGAAGAATAGATGCTTTCTGTGCCAAAGAACTTGGATTTTATATTTAGCATATTTTCATACAAGGCCACAACTCTGAATACCGATCTAGATGTACTAATGTTCTGCTTCAATATTAAAAAATGTTTCTTGCATGAAGTACTTGCTTTAATTTCAAAACATCATAAATCATACTTAAACTGATGTTTGCATATAGGTTTTCACTGGGATCTTCACTGCAGAGATGATCCTCAAAATAATTGCCAAGGATCCTTATTATTATTTCCAAGAAGGCTGGAATATTTTCGATGGCATCATAGTCAGCCTGAGCTTGATGGAGTTGGGTCTTGCAAATGTGGAAGGGTTGTCTGTTCTAAGATCCTTCAGATTGGTAAATATCCATAGGAGGTTTCAAGAAACATTTTGATTGTATTATGTATTCAGAGTAATCAAATTGTGAATATACATACTGTATTCTGATACCTGAATGCTATTCAAAAATAAAATAAGTCAGAAACTAACAGCATGAAGAATATAACAGCAGAATTTAAATATTGATCAATATTTTCTTAGGTATTAAATTCACCCAGACTAGTAAGATCTTTTTCAAAATAGGTTTGTACACATCTTGAGTCTCAAACACAATTACTTAAAGCTACCAATATGTATTGACTTTACATATTCTGGAGAACCCTCACATGGATTTCTAAATCCAGTGTCCATTTTCAGGAGCAGAATTTCTGCACAAGTTAACTCTTTTTTTATTATGATTTAAAAGTAATTAAAATCAAATGTAATTAACACTGATACTGTTGCCTTTGTGCTTTTATTTTTTCAGCTGCGAGTTTTCAAACTGGCAAAATCTTGGCCAACATTAAACATGTTAATAAAGATTATTGGCAATTCAGTTGGTGCCTTGGGAAATTTGACTTTGGTTTTGGCTATCATTGTCTTCATTTTTGCTGTGGTTGGAATGCAGTTGTTTGGCAAAAACTACAAGGAATGTGTCTGCAAGATTTCCAATGACTGTGAACTCCCACGCTGGCACATGAATGATTTTTTTCATTCTTTCTTGATTGTCTTTCGAGTTCTTTGTGGAGAATGGATAGAGACTATGTGGGATTGTATGGAGGTTGCTGGACAACCCATGTGCCTTACTGTCTTCATGATGGTCATGGTGATTGGCAATTTAGTGGTACGTATCAAACAAATGTCCACTTAAGGCAAGTAGTGCATAACAACTGGATTCTTTAAATATTGACATTGAAAAATTGGCATAAATTTAAAATTTAAAACAGTTTTGATTTTAAAAAATTATTTTTCTATTCTAGTCAGAAGGTCATGCAAATACTACATATATACATGTTTTGTTGTATTTGTGCTGATAAATAAATAAAGGGAGACTAGTATAGATCTATTTCAAGCTATTTAGCTCTCATCAGCTAGCCATACCCTTANGGGCAATATGCTGACTCTGTAAACCGCTTAGAGAGGGCTGAAAGCCCTATGAAGCGGTATATAAGTCTAACTGCTATTGCTATTGCTATTACTAAAGAATAGTTGTTTGCATTTTTCTGGCCATTTGTAAAAAAATAAAATGAGTCCTTCGTCCATAGGGAAGTTATTCCTAGAATCCTCGTTCGTGTTAGTTTCTTAATGTATGTGTTGAATGGAAAAAGTGGCTAGCTTTTTGAACGTTTCTCTTTCCGTATGCTTTCTTTTCACTCTTTCTAGAACTTGAGGAATCCAGACAGAAGTGCCCTCCCTGCTGGTACAAATTTGCTAACATGTGCTTAATCTGGGATTGCTGGGCTCCTTGGCTGAAAATAAAGCATATTGTTAATTTGATTGTGATGGATCCGTTTGTGGACCTTGCTATTACCATCTGCATTGTTTTAAATACTTTGTTTATGGCAATGGAACATTACCCGATGACTCAACAGTTTAATAATGTGCTCTCCGTTGGAAACTTGGTAAGTCTTCCGCAGTCCCATAAGAGAGCAAAGAATTATATTTATTGGACAGATTGCTGAATTTTTGGACTCTGCTTAGATCTAGCTTAAGTCATTCAAGGGGGTTCCATTCAAATCAATATACCAAGACTTAAATCCTATTGATTTTAATACTAGTAATATTTTTAATTCTAGATATGAAGCTGAAGTGCAAGGAGGGCATGAGATCTGCTGCTTACAAGATCTGGCAATTTCTAGAGCCGGGATGGCGAACCAGGTGGCACACAAAGCCATTTCTCAGGGCACGCGAAGCAATGCCCTGTCAGCTGGCCAGTGCACATGGACGCACTGGCCAGCTGACTTTAGCCTTCTTTTGAGGCTGTTTTTCGCCCTCTGGAAGCTTCCCTGAAACCTCCAAAGCTTCCAAGGCAAACCAGAAGTCCGAGAATGGACTTCCGGTTTGCTCATAGGACCATTTTTTGCCCTCCAGAGCCTTCAGGGAAGCCTCCTAAAGGCCTCTGAAGGCGCCAGTTCGGAAATGGTGACTTCCGGTTTGTCCGTAGGGCTGATTTTCAACCTCCGGAAGCCTCCTGAAGGCTCTGGAGGTCGATAATCGGCCCTATGGACAAACCAGAAGTCACCATTCCCGAACGTCCGGGTTGCCCGTAGGGCCATTTTTTGCCCTCCGGAGGCTTCAGGGAATCTCCTGCGGCCTCCGGAGAGCATCCTGGGGGGAAGGCTGTTTTCGCCCTCCCCAGGCTCCTAGCAAGCCTCTGGAGCCTGGGGAAGGCGAAAAAAACCATGGTAAAACCAGGGGGGGGTTGTTGCTGATCGTGCACACACACACTGGGGAGGGCACATGGCATTATGGGTGTGGCACACCAGTGCACGATCCCCTTCTGCTGCCTCCACTTTTGGCACTGCAGCCAAAAAAGGTTTGCCATCACTATTCTAGAGGAATTGGTATCAGATGTTTTCTTCACTGCTGTTCCCAGCAGATAGCTGCCTTATGAATGGGGAGTGTGTGAGACTGAATATTATGCCTAGTGGTAAGGATATACAAAAATGCACATATCAAAATACATGTTTCCATTTCTCAAAATAGCAAACTGTTCAATTGGAGATACTTTTTTACATTTTCCTTTATCTTTCTCAACAACATTTTTATGAATAGACTGTTCACTGTTATTTAGGACTGACAACAAATGATTTTTTTTTTGTATGTAGGTGTTTACTGGCATCTTCACAGCAGAAATGTTTCTCAAAATAATTGCCAAGGATCCTTATTATTATTTCCAAGAAGGCTGGAATATTTTCGATGGCATCATAGTCAGCCTGAGCTTGATGGAGTTGGGTCTTGCAAATGTGGAAGG